GGCATGTGCTCAATGCCTGGCTAATTGTTTTATTTTTTGTAGAGACGGTCTCTCTCTTTCTCAGGCTGGGTCTTTAACTCCTGGCCTGAAGCAATCCTCCCACCTCAGCCTCCTAAAGTGCTGGGGTCAGGTTTTAAAACTTTTTGTTTAAACACTCAGTTGGGGCTGGGCGTGGTGTTTCATGCCTATAATCCTAGTATTCCTGGAAGCTGAGGCGGGTGGATTGTTTTGAGCTCAGGAGTTCAGACCAGGCTGAGCAAAATGAGACTCGGTCTCTACTAAAATAGAAAAAATTAATTGGCCAACTAAAAAAAAAAAAATAAAATATATATATAGTAAAATACCAGGCATGTGGTGCATGTCTGTAGTTCCAGCTACTCAGGAGGCTGAGGCAGAAGGATCGCTTGAGTGAGGAGTCTGAGGTTGCTGTGAGCTAGGCTGATGCCACAGCATTCTAGCCCGGGCAACAGAGTGACACTCTGCCTAAATAAAATAAAAAATAAATAAGCATTCAGTTGGCACCAAAAGTTTAATTAAAAAAAAAGTGGTTTTTTTTTTTTTTTTTTGAGACAGAGTCTCCCTTTGTTGCCCAGGCTAGAGTGAGTGCCGTGGCGTCAGCCTGGCTCACAGCAACCTCAATCTCCGGGGCTCAGCGATCCTCCTGCCTCAGCCTCCGAGTAGCTGGGACTACAGGCATGCGCACCATGCCCGGCTAATTTTTTTGTATATATATTTTTAGTTGGTCCAATTAATTTATTTCTATTTTTGGTAGAGACGGGTCTCGCTCAGGCTGGTTTCGAACTCCTGACCTTGAGCAATCCCCCGCCTCGGCCTCCAAAGTGCTAGATTACAGGCGTGAGCCCCACGCCTGGCCTTTTTTTTTTTTTTTTTTTTTCATTATGATGGCGGGTAGTCAGATTCAATTTCCTTTTTGAGACAGAGTCTCACTCTGTCACCCAGGCTGGAGTGCAGTCGTGTCAGCCTAGCTCACTGCAGCCTCCAACTCCTGGGCTCACTCAAGTGATCTTCATGAGTAGCTGGAACTACAGGCATGCACCAGCACACCTGGCTAATTTTTCAATTTTTAGTAGAGAACAGGGTCTTGCTCTTGCTCAGGCTGGTCTCACAGTCCTGGCCTCAAGTGATTGATCCTCCTGTCTCGGCCTCCCAGGGTGCTGGGATTCCAGGTGTGAGCCACTGCGCCCGGCCCCCAAAGATTCAATTTTTAACATTGGAAACCCTAAAATAAGGCATGATCTTTCTGTGCTTTGGGTTCACACACCCCCCCCACCCCCCCGCGCTTTCATTAAGGTCATTAGCCTGAGGCTGGGATTTTTAGGGCCTCAGTCACAGCCCCAGACTTAGGATGTCCCTCAGCCAGAGTTGGGAACATCACTGGGGGAGTCAGAGCCCGGCCTTCCCTCCTGTGGCTCCTGAACGTCTGTGCACAGCTTTTGGGCAGGCTCCACAGGAGAGGTGGCACTGATCCACTACTCCCTGTCACAAAAGGTTGTACAAGCTTCTTCCTGCTTGCTTTGGGGCCCTTCTGGTAAGTTCTAGAAGCAACACCAGGAGGCAGCCTAACTGACTCATGAGTTGTGTTCTGGAGCGGAACTCCCTGCCCACGTCCCGCCCTGTTTGTGTCCCTATCATTGGCACCTTTGTACCAGGAGACGGGTCCTGCCGCCCGACATAGCCCTGGCCTAGCCCAGCAAGCGGCTCCTCTCCAAGCGGCTGCTGGTGAAGCTTGGCCAAGGCCCTGGGCCGGATCCTCCCCGGCCACTCCAGAGTACAGCCCTCGCCCTCCGCGTCCACATCCTGGTCTCTGTCCCAGGCAGGCAGGACAGGATCTGACCACGTGGCTTCCTCCTGGCTTTGTTCCGTTTTTCCCGCCGCCTCCCGCTGTCCAGGTCACTTGGTTTGTGGCACCTCCCCCAGCCCCCCCGCTGGCCTGCCCATCAGTCCTCCCAGTCCTCCCAATGCACTCTGTGGCGGTGGGGCTGGGGCTGTCTGCCCCCCTCCTCCGGAATTTGCCGCATTTCCTTGTGAGGGTGCGGGGGGAGGCTACCCTCCTGTACTGTGTGGCTGTCGTGCGGCTGCGTGACGGTCCCTGGCGCAGATGAGCCACAGTGAGCTTGCTCGTTCCCGCCGGCCAGCACTCGGGCGGGTGGCAATGTCTTGCTGGCCGGTGATGCCGACGAGCACCCGTGTCTGTGTCCCTTGGACACACATAGGGGCCTGTCTCACTCAGCAGTTCTCACTGGGCACATCTGTGGTTGTCACGACTGGGGGCAGGGGTCCTCCTGGCGCAGGTGGTGAAGGCTAGGGACGCTGCTTGGCACCTGCAGTGCCCAGGGCCTGTCCCTGAGTGCCAGCAGTGGCCGGCGGCGTCTGCCGAGCTGTGGCGGCGCCAGGCCCCAGGGTGCGAGTCCATCCTGGTCGTCATTTAAGTGCCGTTTGGCTCGTGTCCTGCTGACTCCTCATCTGTTACATGGCGCGCCACGTATCTTTCCCCCTTCTCTAAATTAATAAACTTTATTTCTTAGAGCAGTTTAAGTTCACAGCAAATGTGAGCAGGAGCTACCAAGTGTCCCACAGGCTCCCTGTCCCCACAGCGGGGCACTGGTTACGGTGGATGAGCCTCCGTAGACGCGTGTGTTGCTCAGTCCACGGTTCTCACTGGGGTCCACTCTGGGTGTTGCATGTCCTGTGGTCGTGACACATTCGTGACACGTGTCTGCCATGGTAGTTTCCTACAGCGAGGTCCCGCCACCTTCCAAATCCCCTGGCTCCGCCGCCGCCTCTCTCCCTGCCCTGGCTCCCGGCAACTCCTGATCTTTCAGTGTCTCCATGGTTGTTGCCTTTTCCAGAATGTCCCATAGTGGCATCAGACGGCACATGACCCTTTCCCAGTGGGCTGCTTCCTATTTTTGACAGCTTCCTTGGGATATACCCTATACACCGTTCAATTCACCCATTTGAAGAGTAGAGTTCAATGATTTTAGGTACGTTTAAGAGTTGTGCAGCCATCACTGTAGTTAATTGTAGAACATTTCATCACGTCTAAAGGGAATCCTGCGTCCCAGCTAACACCCTCATCCCCCACCCCCACAGCCCCCGGCACCCACGGATCCACGTCCCGTCTCTGGATCTGCCTGTTCTGGACGTTTCATATAAACGGAGTCTCACACTGTGTGTCCTTCTGTGTCTGGCGTCTCTCACTGAGCATGACGTCCTCAAGGTCCCTCCACGCTGTGGCCTGTGTCAGAGCCTCGTCCCTTTTCCTGGCCGAGTGACGTTCCACGTGTGGATGGGCCACGTCGTGTTGATCCGTCCCTCTGTTGGTGGACACCAGCCTGTTTGAAACCTGGCTGTGGTGAACCAAGCTGTGTGAGCACGCGTGTACAGGCTGACGTGCCTTGTCCTTCTCGTCCGTGCCACCTTTGCCTGGTGTCAGAGTTGGTCCCGTGGTGGAGGGCTGGTGCCGTGGTTCCACTGGGCATGTGATGGGCACTCAGGGCTGGCTGGGGCGGGGGGAACAGTTGTCCGTGGGCCCTGGAGCCCCTGCTGTTGTACGCAGGGTGGACACGTGCTCGAGGGCATTTTCCTGATAGCCCAGCGTGGCGGTTGCACCTGCAGTCCCAGCCCCTCGGGAGGCTGAGGTGACAGGATCACCTGAACCTAGGAATTGGGGCAGCGCTAGGGAAGGGGAAGAGGCATTTTTCTGGAAGAAGGGCCATCTTCCTTCAGGTTCTCAGGTGTGTGATGGAGGAAGTGTGAAAGCCCCTGCAGGGAGGTACCCTGGACCCTGGGGCTCACTTTGACCCCTCGTGCTATTTGCATATTACTGGCCACCGGGGGCGTGGACACCAGCGAGTAGGAGGAAGGGAGAGAGAGAGCTGCCCTTTGAGGACCTGTTGCCCCATCTTCTTCCTGGGCAGTGGGCAACGTCTGGGGACATTTGTGGTTGTCACAATGGGTCTGCTGCTGGCATGGAGTGGATAGAGGCTGGGGACACTGCCCGGCACCCTACAGGGCCCAGGACGGCCCCACCCCAGAGAGTGGGGGCCTCGCCCTGGCCCAGTGTCCGTAGTGAGGTAGGTGAGGCCCGCCGTAGGGGCATGTGGTAAGCCATGGGGAAGGGGATCCCCGGTGGGTGTTGGCGAGCTGAGGGGCAGTTTCTAACAAAAGAACCCCCTGGCCTCTTGTGGCATCCGGGTGCAGCCCAGGGACAGCTCCTGCGAGCACAGCTGCTGTGTCAGACGACCAGGGGCACAGACAGTTGAAATGTGCTGATGACAAGCGCCCCAGCCCCCACCGCTTACCCTGGGAGTCAGGATCAGGATAAGGCCTCAGAGAGAGGGGCGGGGTGACAGCAGTAGAAGCTGCCCTGGCAGATAAGGTTTGAGCCCCTGGAGGAAGTGGGGACACTGGGGTGTGCCCGCATAGGGCAGGTCTCTCCTTCCAGGCACTGGGGACATGGGGCCCAGTCCTTCTCTGGGGAGGGGCCGTCCTGGGCACTGCAGGTGCTGAGCAGCGTCCTTGCCCCACCCACTCCATGCCAGGAGTGCGAGTTGTCAGGGTAGTGTCCCCAGACATCGCCCAGTGCCCCCCGGGAGGTAGGGTCACTGCTGGCTGAGAAGCAGTGGTAGAGGGTGCGTGTTCACTGTAGTGAAGGCTGCTCTGAGCATGAAGTACTGGGAAGACCCCCTGAAACCCCGCGGGCGTCCACGGCACTCTGGCGTGATGACATGTGTGCTTACGGGAACACTGGGCACGTGACGCCAGCTGTCCTCACTGAGGGGCCTGGGGACCCTTAAGGGAGGGATGATGGCGCTCTGGTTCGGAGAAGCCCGGACTTTGGGATCCTTAAGTCTGAGCTAGATCACACCGTGCATGATGGGGGGGACTTGGAGGGTTTGCTTGTGGCCAGCCTGGCACCTGCAGACCCAAACTCGAATATGGGGGACAAATGGCCTTTGTCCCGGGTGTCCCTGCAGATGGAGAACGGCCACAGCCTCTTTGACTACAGCGTCCGCCAGAACGACACCATCCAGCTCCTGGTCCGCCAGAGCCTCGTGCTGTTTTTTTTTTTTTTTTTTGAGACAGAGTCTCACTTTGTTTGCCCAGGCTAGAGTTGAGTGCCGTGGCGTCAGCCTGGCTCACAAGCAACCTCAATCTCCGGGCTCAGCGATCCTCCTGCCTCAGCTCCAAGTAGCTGGGACTACAGGCATGCGCACCATGCCGGCTAATTTTTGTATATATATTTTAGTTGGTCAATTAATTTATTTCTATTTTTGGTAAGACGGGGTCTCGCTCAGGCTGGTTTTCAACTCCTGACCTTGAGCAATCCCCCCTCGCCTCCAAAGTGCTAGATTACAGGCGTGGCCCCACGCCTGGCTTTTTTTTTTTTTTTTTTATATATATGCGGGTAGTCAGATTCAATTTCCTTTTGAGACAGAGTCTCACTCTGTCACCCAGGCTGGAGTGCAGTCGTTCAGCCTACTCACTGCAGCCTCCACTCCTGGCTCACTCAAGTGATCTTCATGAGTAGCTGGAACTACAGGCATGCACCAGCACACCTGGCTAATTTTTCTATTTAGTAGAGAACAGGGTCTTGCTCTTGCTCAGGCTGGTCTCCAGTCTGGCCTCAGTGATTGATCTCCTGTCTCGGCTCCCAGGGTGCTGGATTCCAGGTGTGACCACTGCGCCGGCCCAAAGATTCATTTTACATTGGAAACCCTAAAAAGGCATGATCTTTCTGTGCTTTGGTTCCACACACCCCCACCCCCCTGCGCTTTCATTAAGTCATAGCCTGAGGCTGGATTTTTAGGGCCTCAGTTCTCAGCCCTAGACTTAGGAGTCCTCAGCCAAGTTGGAAACATCACTGGGGGTCAGAGCCCGCCTTCCTCCTGTGCTCCTAACTCTGTGCACACTTTTGGGCAGGCTCACGGAGGTCGCTGTCCACTACTCCCTGTCACAAAGTTGTAACAACTTCTTCCTGCTGCTTTGGGCCCTTCTGTAAGTTCTACGAAGCAACACCAGGGGCAAGGCCTAACTGACTCATGAATTTGTTCTGGAGCGGAACTCCCCTGCCCACGTCCCGCCTTTTGTGTCCCTATTCATTTGGCACTTTGTACCAGGAGACGGTCCTGCCGCCGAATGCCTGGCTAGCCCAGCAAGCGCTCCTCCTCCTTAGCGGCTGCTGGTTGAGGTGGGCAAGGCCTGGCCGGCCTGCCCGCGACACTCCAGAGTACAGCCCTCGCCTCCGCGTCCCATCCTGGTCTCTTCCCAGGCAGGCAGGACAGGATGCTGACCGTACGTGGCTTCTCCTGGCTTTGTTCCGTGTTTCCGCCGCCCTCCGCCTGTCCAGGTCACTTGTTTGTCACCCCTCGCCACCCCGCTGGCGCCTGCCCATCAGTCGCTCCCAGTGCCCCAATGCACTCTGTGGCGGTGGGCTTGGGCTGTCTGCCCCCCCTCCTCCGGAATTTGCCGCATTTTCTGTGAGGGTGCGGGGGAGGCTGACGCTGCCTGTACTGTGTGGCTGTCGTGCGCATGCGTGACCGGTCCCGCTGGCGCAGATGAGCACAGTGAGCTTTGCTTCGTTCCCGGCCGCCAGCACTCCGGCGTGGGCAATGTCTTGCTGGCCGTGATCGCCGACGAAGGCCCGTGTCTGTGTCCTTGGACACACATAGGGCGCCTGTCTCACTAGCAGTTATCTCAACTGGGCACCATCTGTGGTTTCACGCTGGGGCCAGGGTCCTTCCTGGCGCAGGTGGTGAAGGTAGGCGACGCTGCGCACCCCGTGCAGTGCCCCAGGCCTGTCCGAGTGCCAGCAGTGCCGGCGGCGTCTGGCCGAGCTGTGGCGGCGCCAGGCCCAGTGGCGAGTCGCATCCTGGTCGTCATTGTAAGTGCCCGTTTGCTCGTGTTCCTGCTGACTCCTCATCTTTACATGGCGGCGCCATGTATCTTTCCCCCTTTCTACAATAATAAACTTATTCTTAGAGCAGTTTAAGTTCACAGCATGTGAGCAGGAGCTACCCAGGTGTCCGCACAGGCTCCCCTGTAGTAGAGATGGAGTCTCGCTCTTGCTCAGGCTGGTCTCAAACTCCTGAGCTCAAACGATATGCCCACCTCGGCCTCCCAGAATGCTAGGATTCCAGGTGTGAGCCACCGCGCCTGGCTTAATTTTTGATGATTTCTTCCTACCAGCATGGGCGGGGGCTACTAGATGGGTTTTAGATTAAACCATTCCTTCTACCGGGCACAATAATCGAACTTGAGTTAGGTCTGCTGTGATACCATTCAATAGGAACATTTCCTTGTACTAGGTTCAGTGACTTAAACACTTTCCCATCATGGAAATGTGTAATCATTTTAACCATCAGCAAAGAATAAAGAGTATAATGGAACTCTACCCATCGCCCTCTACAACAGTCCTCAGCTGTGCCTGATACTTGTTTTCTACCCCACCCACTTAGCTCTACCCTAGTACATCATTTGTGTTTTAAAGACACAGGGTTTCCCTCTCACTTAGGCTGGAGTACAGTGGCATGGTCAGCTCAATGCAGCCTCCAACTCTTGGGCTTCAGCAATCCTCCTACCTCAGCCTCCTGACTATAGGCATGTGCTACAATGCCTGGCTAATTGTTTTATTTTTTTGTAGAGACCGGGTCTCTCTCTTTCTCAGGCTGGTCTTTAACTCCTGGCCTGAAGCAATCCTCCCACCTCAGCCTCCTAAAGTGCTGGGGTCAGGTTTTAAAACTTTTTGTTTAAACACTCAGTTGGGGCTGGGCGTGGTGTTTCATGCCTATAATCCTAGTATTCCTGGAAGCTGAGGCGGGTGGATTGTTTTGAGCTCAGGAGTTCAAGACCAGGCTGAGCAAGAATGAGACTCGGTCTCTACTAAAAATAGAAAGAAATTAATTGGCCAACTAAAAAAAAAAATACATATATATATATATAAATCAGCCAGGCATGGTGGTGCATGTCTGTAGTTCCAGCTACTCAGGAGGCTGAGGCAGAAGGATCGCTTGAGTGAGGAGTCTGAGGTTGCTGTGAGCTAGGCTGATGCCACAGCATTCTAGCCCGGGCAACAGAGTGACACTCTGCCTAAATAAAATAAAAAATAAATAAGCATTCAGTTGGCACCAAAAGTTTAATTAAAAAAAAAAAGTGGTGTCTCTGTGACAGCCGGGGGGCAGGGGCGGGGGGAGACGGGGGCAGGGGGGAGGGATGGCAGGGGGGAGAGGGATGGCAGGGAGGTCAGGGAAGCCAGAGAGGGCAGGGAGCACAGGGGGGGGAGGGGGGGGGGGACAGCACGAGGCTCTGGCGGACCAGGAGCTGGATGGTGTCGTTCTGGCGGACGCTGTAGTCAAAGAGGCTGTGGCCGTTCTCCATCTGCAGGGACACCCGGGACAAAGGCCATTTGTCCCCATATCGAGTTTGGTCTGCAGGTGCCAGGCTGGCACAAGCAAACCCTCCAAGTCCCCCCCATCATGCACGGTGGATCTAGCTCAGACTAAGGATCCCAAAGTCCGGGCTTCTCACGAACCAGAGCGCCATCATCCCTCCCTTAAGGGTCCCAGGCCCTCAGTGAGG